TAAACATAATAGGACCTTGATGCACGTCATTTTTTTTTTCGGATCAAGTTCGAAATGGCCGACTGGCGGCCATTTTCTTAAAGAATTCAGTTCTGGATCCGTATCCAAGACATGTCTGGATTGATCAAGTTCAAACTTCACACACACATGGTGCATCATGTCACAAATAGATATGTGCATTTGTTTCATGATCCGCTTAGCAATAGCTGAATGATGGCCATTTTAAGGCCGAAAATGCATTAAAATCACGTATTTTCACAATTCCAGAACCGGATCTCAGTCATGCATGCATGGATTTTGTTCAGATTTAGTACAATGTGTTGTACATATGCAGGTGCATTTCGGTCATGATCTGCTTTGAATGTATATGTCACTCAAATATGAACGGAACGGGGACGTGTCATTGACAATGACTTGTTATTAAAGGGTTTTGAGTCCTGTGGTGCAAAAACCTTTTGTCATTATTTTTCCGCCTTTTATTTTAACACTCTCATTTGAGAACTGTTGCACAGATTGCATTCAAATCTGGCATGTTGGTAGAGGTCCATGAGTTGTGATGCATATCTGAAAATCAGGCACAGGTCACAAGACTTGGTAGCAATCTTTGATTGAAATGTTGTTTTGCATCTCATTTGCATAATTTTTAACTAATCCACTATTTCTGAAAGACCAACTGACTTAGTATGTATTTCCAAAATTTTATTTTTATTTATTTATTTATTTATTTATTTATTTATTTATTTATTTATTTATTTATTTATTTATTTATTTATTTATTTATTTATTTATTTATTTATTCAGGTGAACTACCTGGTTCATGTGATTTTGAGCATGGCATCTGTTCTTGGCAGAATGTTTATACAGACGATATTGATTGGGTGGAGAATAAAGGAGGCACTTCAACGGGAGGCACGGGTCCAACCGGTGATCACACTATAGGCACATCCGAAGGTAGACACGATTAATATTTGTAAATTCGGAACTCAGCAATGATAAGAACGTGCATTTTTTTCATTTTTCGCTCACATTTTGGATTCATGGTTGTAAAATATTATTTGTGTCACATACATGTATATACTTACGCAAACCACTGATTTGTCGATTGCAGAACTCTTGCTAACATGACAGCAATTAAATTGAGCTCCCTTTAAAAGTCTTCCACTGCACTAATAACATATTAAACAAGTCATTGAAAATGACACAGTCCCCGTAAAATTGTTGAATGTTCTCTTTGAGCTCGTCATATTAAAGCAAAGGGGTTGTCAGAGCGTGTCCTTGAAACTTGAGTTCCAAGTGGCTTGTACAACAGATTGTTTATTTACATCAAAACACGTGTTTCATGTAGTAGTAATGATGCCAAAAATAAAAACAGCCGTTATTCGGCCATCTTTGATCTGATTATGAAACACACTGATATGCATGATGCATGTGCCAAATACGAATGAAAATGGTACATAAATTGTGGAAGTAGTAAGGCCAAAAAGTCAGATGGTTGTCAATCGGCCATTCTTGACCAGATTTTGAAACAAATTGTCATGGACATGCATCTTAACATGTTTAAAGTACATGTATGTGCCAAATTTGAATGAAAACTGACAGAGCACGTCCAAGATACTGCATAAAAAAACAAAACAAGATGCCTACCAGTCGACCATCTTTGATCCAATTGCGAAATAAATCGTCATGGACATGTATCCTAACATGTATAATCTATGTACCAAGTTTGAATGAAAACTGACAAAGCATGTCCAAAATACAACATTTTCAAAAAACAAGATGGCTGCCAATCAGCCATTTTGAATCGAATCGCTAAACTGCATGTGCATATGTACCACATAAGGTACTAGGCACATGCAAAGAATGAACGGAATCGGTCCACAGGATTCTGAAATATGACTCTGGACAGACTGACGGACGGACACATGGACAGACGGACAGACTCAGGAACTCACGGACAGTCGGGGACATGTATCCTAACATGTATGATCTATGTACTAAATTTGAATGAAAACTGACAAAGCATGTCCAAATACAACATTTTCAAAAAACAAGATGGCTGCCAGTTGGCTATCTTTGATCCAATTGTGAAATAAATCGTCATGGACATGTATCCTAACATGTATAATCTATGTACATGTACCAAGTTTGAATGAAAACTGACAAAGCATGTCCAAAATACAACATTTTCAAAAAACAAGATGGCTGCCAGTCGTCCATTTTGAATTGAATCGCCAAACCACTGCATGTGCATATGTCCCACATAAAGTACTAAGCACATGCAAAGAATGAACGGAATCGGTCCAAGGGATTCTGAGATATGACTCTGGACGGACGGACGCACGAACGCACAGACGCACAGATGCACGGACGAAGACCGAATTACAAGTCCCCATTTCCGGACTTCGTCCGAACGGGGACTAATAAATGATAAACTAGATGTTTTATATTCTGCTGCTATCGGATTATATATGGCAACCCAAAATGTTCTTGTGGCATTGGTCTTACATGACAATATATCTACGTTGCACATTATATATAATGATTGAATTCAGATTCAGGCATGATTGTCGAACTACAGACAATCTTTTCATACTAAAAACCCTGGTAAATAAATATCTCTACAGTGGTAAGTCAGAGTGCGCCAATAAACAAAATAACACAAATATTAAAAAATCAAAAAAATTATATGCCTGCTTTATTGACCTTAGAAAGGCCTTTGACAGTGTCTGGCATGATGGTCTATTCAAAAAATTAATCAAATATGGTATAACTGGAAAAATGTATAAAACTATCAAAAACATGTACAGTAAAGTAAAATATAAAGTTAAATGTAAAGAAGCTTAACAAAACAATTTCAGTCCAATATTGGTGTTAAACAGGATGTAATCTTAGTCCAACTCTCTTCAATCTTTTTT